CTTACATGATATAATGTTGTAGCTGGGAGACTATGGCAAAGCAGTAATCAAATTAAGATACTTAGAGTAATTTGTCCTGAACTGGATGAAGCTCAAGTCGATTATATTTAGAGAATTGGTATTCCCTTTAATTACTGGACAAAGATGCTGTATAATGCAAATCTTTCTTGAGTAGATTAATGCAAGTGCAATGTAAATCTTAAGAAATGTAGGCCTTGTGGTTGAATGAGCAAAAATCAGTTTTTCTCTTTCATCTCTCCAGCCTTCATACATTCTTCATATTTTTAAATGATTGTTGTATTCCATCAGTAACCCCTTACTTATTCTTACTAATATGCTACAATTATGATTTCTGTCCAGAACTTCTTGATGGAGAAAGCATTCTAAAAGTATAGCCTCCCAGTGACTTTAAACGTAGAATGGATCTGTTGTGTACTTTCATGATTAGAATGCAATAAATTCTACATGTAGTAATAATAATAATCCTTGCATTTGATATAGCCCCTTATCACGTCTTTGAGATGTCTCAAAGCACTTCACAGAATACACTGTAAAGTGAATTGATTGTATATTGTGTGGGCGAAACACGACAACCAATTGCGCACAGCAGTGTCCCACAAACAGTCATAGAATGTGACACATTAGCCAAATGAACTGCAGCTATGTCAGCTTAACATCAGTTGTACATTTTATAATAGAAAGTGGTCCACCTGCCTATGCAATCCCATTTGTGTACACATGGGATTGCATAGGTAGAAGGAGAACTAGAAAATGGATTGGAGAATGACGATCGATGATGAGCTGAAGCAAATAAAGGATTAATAATAATAATCCATGCATTTGATATAGCGCCTTATGATATCTTTGAGACGTCTCAAAGTGTTTCACAGAATATATTAAAGTGAATTGACTGTATTTTGTGTGTGAAATGCGGCAGCCAATTGCGCACAGTAATGTCCTACAAACAAATAATAATAATAAATATTAATATTTTTTGAAGGGTTTTACCCCCCGGAAAAGCGATCTACCGATCCAACAACAAAATTACATTTATAGAGTACCTTTTATGTTGGGAGAACGTCCCAAAGCGCTGAACAGTCAGGTGTCGGGGAGGGGTGGCGTAGGGGTGAGGGAAGGCAGAGATGGGAGGGAGACCAAAGGCACGGTCGAGGAGAAGGTTCTTGAGATCGGCCTTGAAGGAGGCAAGGGAGGAAGCGAAGCGCAGGGACCTTGGGATGAAGTTCCAGAGTGTGGGGGCATAGAGGCTGAAAGCCCGGCCACCGATGGTAGAGCGGGAGACATGGAGCAGGCTGGAGCCCGATGAAGCGGGCAGGTTGGTAGGTTCCTACTTATTGCTAAGTAAACAGAGGTATGTGGAGCAAGGAAACTTTCCCAACGTTTCACCCTGGCTGGGAATTGAACTCAGGTCCTCTTGCTTGCGAGGTGCATGCTCTGACCTGCAGGATCCCCCGAATTAGAAATATCTAGCAGTGAAATATTTCTAATTTATGGAGTCCTGTAGCTTCTAACTCCAAGAAACTGAATGTTAGAATATATAGCCAGAACAAATCTTTAGAGGTTGTGCTAAACCTCTAAAATGTACTGGTTAGACCACACTTGGCATGTTGTGTTCAGTTCAAATTACCAAGCCACAAAGAGACATTCAAGTATTGGACAAATTGCAGAGAAAAGCCATAACATTGATTTCCAACATCAAGGGGATAAGCTATAAACTAAAGAAGCTTCTGCAATAGTCAAGGAGACAATAGAGGGGAACCTCATTAAGGTGTATGAAAATATTAAGTACCAATGGAGAAAAATCCAAATTATTTCTTCCAACAGCACCAGGGAAAATAATTAAAAATGCTTAGTTTCAAAACTGATGGATAGAATTTTTTTTCCTTTGCAATGAGTTTGCAACATTCTGCCACCCAATGTAGTAGAACAAAACGCATTAGGAAACTGGATGAAATATTGGAATATCTCATTTCTATAAAGGTCCACTTCACCTAAGACTATGAAGTCAAACAACTTGTACAGTTCCTCTGGTTCATCAATCTTTTTAGTGGTGATGGTAACGGATCTTTGATAAATGTTTCTCAAATACTCATGTTTGTAGAGGATCTAGCAGTGAAATATTTCTAATTCAGTTTTTATCTTTTCATTGCTGGACCCTCAACTCTTGTTTGATTAAAAATGACTCCTGGTGTGATATGGAATCAACATGTTGACTGACTCCATAAGGGTCAAGAGTACATCATGCCTTTCTGCCCAGTGTTTGTATAAATATATCCCACTGAGATGTGGTGTTCTGCGTGTACATTATTAGTTGAATTTTTAAAATTAGAAATAGAGTATTTTTCATTCATGTTTGCTATGCAGGAGAAGCCTAACAGTTGCAAGCATTTTGCTGTAATTTACAATGCTGGGGGTCTTCAGTTTGTGGCTTTCAATCAACCTGATTTTGATCACATTTGTCATAAGGATAAACTAGAAGAAGTGAGAAGAATAAAAGTTAGATAACTTGTATGCTGTTCTAAATACAAATGCCTTTTCAGATGCATAAATAGCATTATTGACCATATTATATGTAGTTGGGTATCAGCTGAAGAAATGCCTTCTGCATTCTTTTTGCACTAAACTAAATCTTGCATTTTCTTGCACTGAGGTTCTGTACCTGCATTTAATATTTGGCATTCAAAGTCTATAGGGGTGGTCTGCAGATACTGTGGGATAGAAAGTACTATATTTAGCTTGATGCCAAGAACATTCATTGATCTTTGAGTAGGATGACATTAACCTTTTCACCCTAGGAACTCATGTTGGATTATTGGTTAAAATGTTGATTCTATTAATTTTGGGAGGAAAAACCTTATAGCAACTCCACTTTTGTAAATGAATGCCAACTGTTTTATAATCCCTGCACTTCAGCTGAGATCTATTGATAGTTTCTTCATTCAGCCATCTCCAGCTGTAAATGTATTACCATCGTCTATTTAAAAATAAAAGTGGGATATGAATCAACTTCAAAGGTTGATCAGAATTTACATTTCTTTGAGGTTGTATATTATATTTTAATGAGGAAATTAAAAAGGACTGATTCTGTTTGCGAATGGTCTTTTTAATTCCATGTAAAGAAGTATGTATTTCTTCCAGCAGAGATTTACATATGCTGAGATTTACATAAGCTAAATATAGTACTTTCTATCCCACAGTATCTGCAGACCACCCCTATAGAATTTGAATGCCAAATATTAAATGCAGGTACAGAACCTCAGTGCAAGAAAATGCAAGATTTAGTTTAGTGCAAAAAAATGCAGAAGGCATTTCAGGGTTTGATGTGTAACTTATTTCGATTCTCTCCCATGTCCACAGTTCTCCATCTGAGTGACAGGGAACTATGGTTCAGTAGTGAACTGCTGGTATGGAAGTGGACTGCTGGTATGCCAAGTTATTTGGCATTTTTTAAACTTTCAGTTTTCTGCACTTTACCCAGAATTCTTGTGTGAGAACTTATATAACATCTTATGTTTCTATGGTCATTTGTCACCTTAAAGATTTAGTTTATCATTATTTTTAAAAAATTCACCTGCAACTAGTTATCACTTGTGCTTCTTCAGAATAATTCTACAGGAAATTGCAAGTTTATATGTATTATGCAAGACCTAAACAACTTTAGTAGATCCATAAAATATGCTAGGTTTCCTTTAGTTAGGTTAATTTAATGTGTTTTAAACGTGTAAAAGTAAAACACATTTCCAAGTGAATGTCAATCGTGATAAACCTGCTTCAGTTCATAGAAATATCCAGAGGTTAATATGATGTATTTAACGGTCGGATTAAAGGCAGTGGATTTTACCAAAAATATAAAAGTTGGAGTAATTCTCTACAGATTGTTGTGAATTTGAAACTGTATATCACTGGTGACTTTGTGCAATGTAACTTTTGTCTTTACTAATCAGTACATCTGTCATCTTACAGCCATAATTTTCAGTCCTACACTAAGATTATTACTTATTTGCTGAGTTGAACAGCTGTAACAAAAATGTCCAAGCTATGTAATACTCTAACGCATTTCTCAATTTCTTGTGGGGAATCCTGTTTAACTGTCTAATAGTGCAGTGCAACTTTCTCATATTCTATTAGTTCAGCTTCATTTATTGTCACAATGTGCAGCACTTGTTTACAGAATGAATCTGGGTCTATTGGCCAGGCCACATGGAAAGAGTCATTTCAATGTAGATAACAGCAGCTGTGTATTATCTTTGAAAGCCTGAGATTCATTAGCCAGTGAAGATGAGATAACCAACTTGTCACAGCAACAGGAGAGCTCAGTCATTGAGTGTTTTAGGAACAAAGAAAATGAAAGCATTCCTGTGTTTCTGGCATCAGCCCTTATCTATGGTCACTGGTACTGTTTGTGCAGAACTAAAGCAGCTGTTGCTATGAGTTAAGGGGAACAAGCTCAACATGCCATGAAATTGCTGCTGTGTTTTTATGCTCATTAAAGAATTAAAACATTGCATGAAACAAGGTGTGTATCAGTGATGAAAAATGTTGCATCTCTCCAATTTCAACATAGAATGCAGGATTGGGAAAAGAATAGTACAATACAAACTTGTATTGTGTTTCTTTGAACAAGAAACAAATTACCATTTGATAGCTGATTGCATTTAGTACAGCCCTTATCACATTGAAATGTCTCAAAGTGCTCCACAGTACTGTTCCAGTATTTGCCCCACCCTCTGGAACTCCATCCTACAGTCCCTCTGCCTCGCCTCATCCCTTGTCCCTTTCAAGACCCGTCTCAAGACCCTCCTCTTCAACCATGCTACTCCTACCCTCCCTGCCCTCCTGATCCAAACCACCAGCTCGGGTGCGGTTCCCCGACTGTCTAGTGCCTTGCAAAGCCCTCCTAAAATGAAAGGCACTGTACAAATGTAATTTATAGTTGTTGTTTTCAGTTTATTAAAATAACTTTATTTCCCCCCACAATTCAGGTCAGTAACGGATCCCAGGGATGGAAAGAGAGTTGCACTCAAAAAGATGCCTAATGTCTTCCAGAATCTGGTTTCCTGTAAGAGAGTCTTCCGTGAGTTGAAGATGCTATGCTTCTTCAAACATGATAATGTAAGTAACTTGAAATCCAAAGGGGCTGGAAGTTGCACTGATATAGTGGTGATGCTTGAAGAGGAGGAATATTATGATATAGTGCCTATAATTGAAAAATCTCAACATACTTCATGGAAATTGTTGGCAATTGCAGTTCGAGACATATGTGCATGCGACTGCCAGGAAGGTAGAAGGCAAACTAGATGGACCTTGTTTTTTTTGCCTAGCTTTTCTTATCTAATAATTATAAGCAAATTTATGAGCCAATATGCATATAGCAGGATCCCACAAATAGTTATGAAGGGAATAAGTAATTCATATTCCAACTCCTCCCTCCACAGGCTGCAGATCATCCAGAGCTCTGCAGCCCATGTCCTCTCCCGCACTAGGCTCTGCGACCCTATCATCCCCATCCTTGCCCAACTCCACTGGCTTCCCATCACACAAAGTATACAGTTCAAGATCCTGATCCTCATCTTCAAAGCCCTCCATGGTCTGTGACCTCTCAACCATCCTGCTCACTCCCTCCGCTTAGCGGGTTCCGGCCTGCTTCACGTTCCCTGCCTCGCTCGCCCCACTATTGGTGGGCTGGCCTTCTGCTGCTCTGCCCCCACCCTCTGGAATTCCATCCCACAGTCCCTCCACCTCGGCCCTTCTCTTGCCACCTTCAAGACCCATCTCAAGACCCTCCTCTTCGACTGTGCCTTCGATCCCTGCTTCCACCCTGCCCTCCACCCACCCCGACCCTCAGCTCGAGTCCGAAACTCTTGTCTGTCCAGCACCTTGGGACATCCTCCCAACGTGAAAGGCGCTATACAAATGTAATTTTGTTGATATATAGAAGATAGTTGACAAGAACACCTGGAGAAATTTCTTTATCTTTTTGAATAGTGCTTTAACATATACAGTACATGAAAACGAGCAGATGGATCTCAGTTCATTGCCTCATCTGAAGGACTGCATAGATTATACAATTATACAGCACAGAAGGAGGCCATTCGGCCCATCGTGTCTGTGCCAGCTCTTTGAAAGAGCTGTCCAAATGAATCCCACTCTGCATGTCTGAAAATGTAGTTTTCCCCATTATTACACTGGAGTGTCAGCTGTAGACTATGAGCTCGGGTTCTCCCTTGAAGGTTAAACTCACAACTCTTTGAAGGATTAAGGTTGGGGAATATACCCACAATACATTCCAGATGCAATGTTCATCCAGTAACAAAGAAATTATTGCTTTCAAAAGAAAGTTTGCATTTCTTCAGAAGTCCTTTAAATAGCTGTGTGTGTTTTAGTTGAGCTCATGTGAATATCTCTAGATAAATTGGCTTTGTTTCCACATACTGCTACTGTTTACTGCAATTCTGAATACTTTGCCAAGCACAGTCATTTCTGGATTAGAAACCGATCATTTATTTTGGAAGGCTTGTCTGTAGCGGAATACAATGTGGGGAATCTTGTTTTAGTAGCAAAACTTTTGATTGTTTCTGTTTAGCTGTGCAACATAATTTATGACAACATTGTAATTTGAGCACTTCAAAAAATATTTATAAATTGTATTCTGTATATCTTATTTGTTTCCGACCCCCTCCAGAACTGACAATCATTCGAGATTTAAGGTTTTCAGACTTGAGAGTAGAACTTAGGTACTTTAAACTGGCTTGTCATAATTGAATTTGCAGCTCCATTACTAGACATCTTTTAAACTAGATATGAGCATTTTGTTTACAAAAAAGTTCACGAATTCCAAACAATGTACATATTTCTGGATTACGATTTTATTAAACTCTATGCCATAAATTATAGGCCACTAATGCAAACACTAACTCCTTTTTCTGATTTTCTTTTGTCAGGTGCTCTCTGCGCTTGATATGCTCCAGCCTCCTCATATTGACTACTTTGAGGAAATGTATCCTTCTAATCAAACGTAATATTTCTGAAGCAGTTGCTTACTGTAAGTGCGTCTATATCTAGATGGTTGTCCTGGGTCATAACAAAGTTATATGATGTACATCTGAGTTGGCTGCAAGTTGTACATTGTAGAACTTTGTTGAACAAAGTTAATTATGAATGGAAATCAGATCGAAGTTCTTAGTTTGACATGAGAGCTAGAAAATACACTTAATTTTAGTTTTGGAACCTTTGTAAAAAGATTGATCAAATACAATATTTCTTTATATAAACCCTTGGTACCCCTTGAGTAGAGTACCCCTTCAGAAATCCTTTAATAAATTGAGTTTGCCATTTGTGAAACAAAAATCGATGTTTTATTAAAGCAAATATTTTGTATTCTGTGACAGTATCCGAACAACCAGTGGCAGAGACAGATTTTGCAACCTGGGAGAGTGGGGCGGGCGATATGTAGAAGAAATAACAAATATTGAGATATTCTTAGTTATGATTAACCTCAGAAGTTCCCCTACCTTGATATAAATACTGTACTTCAGTATTCAGTCCCTAGTGTGCATTTTCCATGTTTGTAAACTGTTAAAGCTACGTTTAAATAGTTTTGATTCTTCATCTACTAACATTCAAACTTATTTAATTAGTACCATAACATATTAAGAGTAAAATTCTATATTTTAAGTACTAAATAAAAATATCAACTGCAATAGCTCAACACATAAGGAGGCCAGTCGGCCCATCGTGTCTGTGCTGACTCTTTGAAAAGAGCTATCCAAATCAATCCCATTCCCTCCCTCTCTCCCCATAGCCCTGCAAACTTGTCCTCCCCAAATAATCATCTACTTGTCTCTCAAAAGTTATTAGCGAATCGGCCTCCAGGCAATGCATTCCAGATCCGAACAACTCGCTCTGTGAAAAAAATTCTCCACCTCTTTCTTTTAACAACTATTTTAAATCTGTGTCCTTGGGTTACCGACCCTCCCGCCAGTGGAAATAGTTTCTCCTTGTTCACCCTATCGAATCCCCTCACAATTTAAAAACTTCTATTAAGTCTCCTCTTAACCTTCTGTGCTCCAAGGAGAATAATCCTAGCTGCTCTAGCCTCTCCTGATAACTGAAGTCCCTCATTTCTTGTACCATCCTGGTAAATCTCCTTTGTACACTCTCCAATGCCTTGACATCCTTCCTAAAGTGTGGTGCCCAGAGAACACTGAAGAGAACACAGTACTCTAGCTGAGACTTAACCAGTGTTTTATAAAGGTTCATCATAACTTCATGACTGGTATTCTATGCCTGGATTTATGAAGCCTAGTACCACGTATACTTCTTTTAACGGCTTTATCTAACTGTCTTGCCACATTCAAAGATTTACTTATATGAACCCCTAGGCCTCTCTGTTACTTCACCCCTTTAAGATTCTACCATCTAGCTTATATTTACTCATTCTAAAAGGATGCTGGATAAGTTTTTTTTCAAAGTCATAACAAGTGTCTTAGGTTTGATTGTAAGCACAGTGCATGAAATAAAGTGGAACTGCAGAACATACTATTGTATGTGCTTACCTTAGTTTCAAATAGACATAGTTAGAATTGCTGGTGTACAATTTGGAAAAAATACTGTTGATCTTTTGCCTACCAGATTAGATGTAAATTTTTGGATATGTGTTGCATGACTGCCTTACTGTTGATGCACTGTCCCATAGCAATAGGTTTATATACGCAAATTAGTTCTTGATCTAAACTGGGCCATTGGTTTGAAGTATTGTACATGATCATGACAAAGAAGGTAATAGAGGGCTAGCATCAATCATAAATATCTAATTCTTAGTAGTTCGAGCAACTTAAACTGTAATTGGAAAATAAGCTTTGAATCAGTAGAATATGATTGATATAATGCTTCTAATAGAATTATTTTGATGCAGAAATGCTAGTTTGTTTTCAAGGCGTTAAATGGTGACGCTCACAGATCTGTTACTCCAGAATTTGTTCATCAGTATTGCTCCTGATTACAGTGGGTAGTATAAAACAGATTGACTTGTAGTGTTTTCCCAAGTAGACGTCTTGGTACACAATATAGTGATGACTGCTGCTTTTTTTTATGTGGTGAAATTGCTGTTTGGGTGCGATTCTATCAGCTCTAGGCTATTATAAAGCCTCTGAGAGTGACTCCAGTAACATCCTGTATACCTTTCCCCTTTCTAATATGAAGAATACTGTTATGCTATTCATTACACGGAGAGTAATTTAAGTACATTTCTTAAAAGGATTTTGAAAAGTCTGTTTTGAATCAAAATCCAAACTGTGATTGTTTGAGCCATTTTATGCCAAATTTAATATTTTTTTTACCCTCCATTTTTGCCATTGAATATCACTTCTAGTCAGCAACAAACTAACTACTGCATTGAGTCATAGCTACACCATACTTATTTTGCATTTTATTAAACGTTGTGCTGTTGATGATCCTTAAGTTTAATTTGTGTTTTTTAAAACATTCGATTTTAGAACGCCCAAGTGTTCTTTAATTACTTTGACAGTTACCAGTTGTGGATACCCTTAGTTTTAGATGGAAGCAAAAGTCTTAACTGGCCTAATCAGATTACAATACTTAGATTCCTCTGGTGGATTGACTGTTTCTGCTTAAGTATAATATCGTCTGCTTCAGAATTTGGAATGACTGCTTTGCCAAGTAACAGAAATTTCAGTCTGTATGTGGAATTGTTATTAAGAGTTTTTAAATACTGCTTATGTAGCTGAGCAAAAAGATAACTTGTCTTCCATAAATTCTGTGAAATAAAAGTTGCCTTCCAGTTGTAAGGCATAGATAATAAAACAAAACATTTGGTAAACACTAACTAGGGCAGCTGTCAGTTGTTGATAATCGCCACTTGCAAAAGAATTTCAATTTTATGGTTGACATTTTTTTGGTGTCTTTAGTTTATTTCAATGCTGTACTTCAAGTCTCAAATAACTTGTCGTTATGCCAATGAAAAGTTCTGTTTTCTGAAATTAAAACTGGAGAGAGGGTGATGTTTAGATTCTAGGGCACTGCATTTTTGCACTGATATTGAACTGTACAACTAAAAGTGACTACATGGTTAGGTTTGATTCTACGGAGCTTTCTACTATGTTTATAGTTTGTTAATTTTGCAGCTTTTTTATTAATACAGAAGAGAAACAACTATGCAATTGGTAACTTCAGAAGCTGATCTATTTTTGTGCATCTTTTCCATGTTTACACAAATTGTAATGTTTAGTCATGATGTTCAAGGAAATTTGTGATTCCCAGATCTAAAACTAATATATAATGTCATTATATGTACATTTAGGACTTCATACAGAATTTAACAAACCTTCAGGGAGAGGAAGCAGGATAGAAGTAATGCCAAATCCCATAGAGAATGAGCTTTGTTTTCACAGTCCATTAAATTTGTTTCTAGAAATAAAATCTCAATATTTGGCTTAATGGGCCAAATGGTCTACTCCTGCTGATAAATTCTAAGTTTTCCACTCTGTAAAATCTTGGAGTTTGTGCATAATTACATCAGTATTTCTTACTAGACTTCAATTGTAGTTCATGTGTTAAATTTGAAGCTCTTCAAAGATGCAAGTAAGATTTTGAAGTAAATCTATATGGATTAAGTGCACAGGGTGTAGATGAAGACAATTGGAATGAAAATGGGGCTGTTTCATAAACTTGACCCTGGTAGTTGCTGACATCACAAAACCGCCCATGAGATAAGAGTACCGGGGTCTCAAAAGGTAAACCAGAGATTTCTAATAGACTAATGCATGCTGCAGCATCCCTGGTCACCAAATTACAGTTTATTTCGTATGAACATAGTTCACAGCAACAAACTATGGGAGAGGTTAGCATTGTGGAGTCCTGTAACTTAGTGGTTAGAGCACTTGCCTCACAAGCGAGAGGACTTGGGTTTGATTCCCAGGCAGGGTGAAACGTTGGCCAAGTTTCCTCACTCCACAAGCCTCTGTTTACCTAGCAGTAAGTAGGAACCCGATTGTTAGTCGATTGGTGGATCGCTTTTTCGGGGGTAATAATCTCTTTTTAAAAAGAATTTGGTCACTCAGTCCACAACTGCTTGTGTGCAATTGGCTGGAGTGTTTTGTCCACAAAATATCCAGTCCATTCACTATAGTATATATTCAGGATACTGTATAGTGTATATATCTATATATAGTATATCTGTGAAGAGCTTTGAGATGTCTAGAAGACGTGGTGAGGCACTATGTCAAATGCAAGGATTATTATTCATAAGTACTGGTTGTTGAAGCTTCACTGCTGATGTCACATGAGTACAGGATTTTGAGAAACAACTGCTATAGATCTTGTGTTCCTGACATAAGGAAAATATAATCTTAATTTTAGCATAACTTATTGTTTTAACTATGCTTTTTAAACAACATTTATTATTAAAATGTTCACTGCTTAGTTATTAACAGCAGCACGATCCATTTCAGTAATTTAATCTTGCATATTGGCAGGTAAAATACGTAGCCTACTCAAGAGACTGATGGCTTCCACTGTAAACTGTTTTTTGCTGCTTCTAGAGTTGTTTAGGAAATTATCTCTTCAGGTGGGTCTTGCCACTGCTTTCTGGGTTACTGTTGCTGTCAACATTGCAAGGTAAATATGGTATGACATAATATTAGATTATCCTTGCTTATACTTTGAACTGTGGGTTCAGAAAAAAAGATTTTCTATGGGGATATGTCAATTGCAACGTATATAAATGCTGATATGGACTTAATTCACTTAATAGATAGAATTTTTAGTCGATAGAATGCTTATATAATAATAATAATCCTTGCATTTTGATATAGCGCTTTTCACGTCGGGAGGACGTCCCAAAGCGCTTCACAGAATATACTGTAAAGTGAATTGACTGTATATTTGTGGGCGAACGCGGCAGCCAATTGCGCACAGCAACGTCCCACAAACAGTCGTAGATTGAAAATGACCAATTTATTATTGTTTTTGGTTTTGGAG